AATTCCTGCCTGAAGATGAGGAAGGTAAGTTAAAATGAATACATCACCATGACAAATTCCATCTGTTACCTAATAAAACACCACCAGCTAAAAGGAGCTCCCACTTAAAGAGTGGTTGTGCCCAAACAGGTTGAGGTACAAGTGAACACAAGAGCAGCCACTCGATCATGTGCAACTGCTGTATTTCAATATTTTTAAGAGACACTGGTTGATCATACCAATTCTGCTTTGCAGATTAACATGTGCAGGCAATTCTGTTACTCAGCCCAGTTCTGAACCACTTCCTCACCTGCTCACCACAGGGAGGGTCTAACACTGTTTCTGAACTCACATTCCTTGTCTCAGGGCAGTTCTTTCCCAGCCAGCCTAAACCAATGCTTGCAGGTGTGTGCTGGCAAGAAAATGAATACATGCTGTTTTTAAATGTGTCTTGGGATTAACAATGGAAACGAGAAAACTTCCCTCAGCTTTCAATATGGTAAAATATTCCTAGACAATCCTGACAGGGCTATCGAATAGCCGTTTTTTCAATTTACCCCCTTTAATTTTCAGCAGTAGAGCATTTGTAGTAAAAGTCAATGTTAAATTAGATCCTTGTGTTTCTAGTATTTGCCTGAATCAAGCTCAAGTTCTAATTCAGGTGACTGATTTCTTCTGTTCCAAACAAGGTGAAGCTCCATTCGTTCTACATTTTCCTTGGTTTCAGAGTCTCTCTTATTTCCCCTGAACTAGGCAAGATTTCACAAATCTGGCTCCCAGAAGTCATGCAGTTTTCCCTAAAGAGTAAAAACAAATTAGTAAACAAGTCAGAAAATCAGTATTGGAAGAAATGAGTAGAGTAGGCAAGTGCTTAGCTTGGGAGCACTAAAATGTGTGGCAAGTCCCTAGAATTTTACTTGGAAACACTTGCCAGTTTCCCACATGTGAATCAACCCCAAATATCTGTGAAAAAAACCCAACTCTGAAAGAGTTGCACCATTATCATCTCTCACCAATTCATCAAAGCATCAGTTGCTTCTGCAGCCATGTGTTACACTCTAATTCCCTCCCCCCATAACAAGAAATATCTCACACAATATACATAACACAGTTTTGGCACATTCCTGGGAATGATTAATAAGTCTACAGACAAATGGTTGATGACACAATTTTTAACTGCAGTCAAAACTAAGCACAGATGTGTAATTTAAATTTTCTGTACGTGATACTCTGCATTACTGGAAAGCTAAGCTTTTCCAAGACAGGTAGCTTTATGTTCCAAGACAGGACTCAAACACTTGGTCTGATCACATTACAAAAGAAACCTTACAAGCCTAGGCTAGCAGAAGCAGCTCTGAACTCTGGGTGTCAGTAGAAACTACCCACCTATCCCATCAAGGTTTCATGAAGGTAAATATTTACGAGAGACTAATAATGGCATTATTTACTACTGTATAGTTTTACAAAGCATGAAAGGCTTTTCCTAGTCACTGCATTAATTTGAAACACTCAAATGGGGAGGAGCTATCAAGAGCCCTTAAACATGTGGAGAGAGCCCTGGACTCAAGTAGTCTCGGAGTCACACACTGTCAGACCACAGCAGGAAGCACATCACTGCATTC